AAAAAAAAACTCAAAAAAATTAGCCCTTTCCCTTGAAAAAAAAAAAAAAAAAGTGACAGTCTGACCCAGGCCTCAACACACCTTCATAAAATAAGAAATAAGGGGAGGATTGAATTAAAAAAATGCATTAAATACAAAGCACAGCACAAACCATCACCTCTTAAGTGTAAGTGAAGCTAAACAGAAAACAGGAAAGAACCCCCCCTCATCTAAATAAAATCAACGCCACAATGACATGATTTCATGGAGTGCTATTAAATATTCTTATTGGTTGGCCATCTCTTTTGCAGAAACAAAAATACCATGCCAGTTTTATTCCCATAATAGAGTATTTACACCTTGGACTGCAGGTTTGATCACGTAAAGGAAGATCATACAACAGAAACATGGCTTGGCGGATACTGTAGAGTCTGCACATATGCTACTGTACAAGTACACTAAAAAAATAAAATACACAATGTAGCAATATATATACTGGGGCCGGAAACACTGCTTACTACAGTTTGATTATGGAATCATAGTTTACAGCAAAATGGGCATGTCCCAAGGTTCAAGTCATTTATTCGTTTTTCTAAATTTACATAATAATAAATACTCGTTGCTATTGCTACACCTTGATTTTACATTCTAACCCTAGTAAATGCAGAAAGCTAGTGTAAAGCATATATATTTAGTGTAGGTCCCATACATGACAGTTTGTTCAAGACTAAAAGTTAGTTGTTTTTTTTTGTTTTTTTTTGTTAAATTGAATTTAGATTATGGTATTACTCGGGGCTGTGCCTAGGATCAGCTCTTTATGTCAAACTTGATATCGAAACGTCCCTGAAAGCGATCTTTATCGCTATATTTTATGTTCTCGCCAAACGCCTTGCACTCAATGCGGACTTCGGTGTCCATTGTAACGTTAAATTGCACGGCAATAAGGGGCTGGAGATAGTAGGGATGCAGCAGCTTTCCATAGTAAGGATAGTAGTTCAATGGGAATCCGCCAATTCCGCCCATTCCGAAGTATTCCACTTCTCTAATTTTAGGCTGATCGTCCTCTTTCTGGAATACAAAAATGAGAGTAAAGATGGTTTGTTTTCCTCATGTCCAAGCAATAGTTCCAGAGCTAAAGACAGCTGAAGTTCTATGTTCCTTATGATTTCCCCTATTAGCCAAGATAAACTTCAGCAGGGTTGCCTCAATGTAAACCTGTAGCTATGCTATGGACATTAAAGTAGTGAATGAGATTTAAAGGAGAACTATGAAGTGAGTGATTTCCACTCATCTCATAGTTAGAGCCGACGTGTGACAAAGAGGCTGTCACACGTCGGCTCTATAGATCCGCTCACTTCCCAATTGTCTCCCTGCAGTGAGCGGTGACTGTCACCGATCCCTGCAGGGATTCCCCCGCGTTAAGTGGAGGAAAGAACGGGAGAGGGGGCGGGCACAGCAGGCTCTGCCTCCAGATAGGCAGAGCCCGCTGTCACTCACGCAGCTGGGTGAATCACAACAGTATTGTCGGGATCCATCCTGGCTGCGGCGCTCTCAGTATATAGCAAGCAATAGCTCACTATATACTGAGTTTTGGGTCACGGGAGGAGGTTATTATATGTCCTACCGTGACCCTAAAGAGAACTATGGGATAAAAAGGTTACCCCATTGTTCTCTTTTAAATAAGCCCTCATTGGCCTTAGTAACTGAATGCACTGTGGAGTAATTTATCCTCAAATTTCACAGCAGAAGCACTGAAGTTATTTAAACTAGCTCTTATCAGCTCAGCTCTCCCCATCCCAGAACACCTTTTCTGTGTTTATAATAAAGATCAGAAGGCTGAAAGACTGCCGAATCCTTGCTGGGAGGGGGACAGGGACAACTAAGCTGCAAAGAGAAGGCCTTTAGTGCTTTTGCAGTGAACTTTGAGGATGAATTGTCCTGTAGTGGCTGCAACTACAGATGTCAGTATGAGTTTGTATATAAAGCTCATGTACTGGTTATATAAAGAATATATCCTGCAAGCACAGTTCAAAGTGTCGTACACAGAGCTTAAAAATATACATTTTATTTTATTTTTTTCCCCACTATTCTCCTTATAATTACCCCTTATAAAAAGTCCAGCCCTAGCTTTTGGGCAATTGCATAGCATCCATATAAATTACTGTCAGCTAAGCAAAAACACTTGGAAGCAGGTGAAAACTTTTCCCATACTGGAAGAATCGCTGTATCAGAATACTTCAATGTTCTATTGGGAATACACAATGCTGGCAATTTTAGAAGCATTTCATTTGCTTTCAATCTTTAAAAAAAATTGATTAGAAGAAATTGGCCAGCCCACGCCAAACTGCCAATCGCTTTGTTAAATTCTCCAGTTTGAAGGCCAAGTGGTTGAGAATAGTGAGGGAAATGGTTCAAAACTACCTTTCAGCTGGCATGGGTTTGATCGATTTTGACACCAGTTTCTAGTGCTCAATCAAAACTGGGAAGCAACTGAAATAGTAATCTTACTGTAGTCCTTTCCTTGCAATCACTGTCTTACAAAACTGCTCATTGTATGGGCAACACAAGGTTTCAATACCCACAGGTCACCCATTTTTCATACATTCGTTTTTAACCATGGAAGGATTGTATTAGATCTAGTAAAGAATCTCAGAACTCATGGCATTGGCGGCTTCCAAATGTGTGTGTTTATATATATTTCCAGTAACAGCATTTCATGCAGTTGTAATTCTGTAGAGTGTCGATTGAACTTCCACAGTTGATGGCCACAAAGGAAGGAAAGATTCTTTGAAACTCAATAATTAGGAGGTGTGGACTCAGGTCACCTTGGCTGAGATCGGGAAGTGCTATTACTGGAATTACAAAGGAAGGAAAGATGGAACTCTCATCTAGAAGGCCAACAGCTGAATGCAGACATTTAGATTCCCTCTGTAGATAAGAGGGATCCCCAAGGTATAGGCAGACCAGCCGTGCCTTTAGATGCAGTTACGTGCGTCAATATGTGGCCAACAGCCTGTATTTAACCTTCTCTAGATGCCAGCACAGACCAGCACATAATTAAGCAGGCAGTGGACTTCTGTGCATCCTTGTTCATAACATTTATGACACTGCCACTCAGCCATAGATAAGAATGCAGGCTGTTCTATGTAAGTGAGCATTAGCTTGTTGCTTTGAAGACCAGTCCTTGCCATTACTTCATAGGACCAGGCTGAAAAGTAGAAATATGGCATATGCCATTTCCAACATGTTTTAGGACTTTTTCTAATCATTCTTTCACAGCTTCTTGGTCAATGGAGTTGATTTACTAAAAGCAAATAGGTTGTTTACTTTGCAAGGGAATTTTCCCTTACCTTAGTCAATGAGGAGATGCTCTGCTGACTTCCACCACCCAATCATGTGCAAGCAAAAAATATTTTCCTTGAACGCGATTGTGTCTTCTTTGGTAAGAAAATTTTCACCACATTCCCTAAGCTAAGGGAAAATTCCCCAGCAAAATGAACAGACTATTTGCCTTTCATGAATCGACCCCAATAAACTGGAAGAAGCATATAGATATTCGGGATACCTGATATGTGCATACTCGTTCTTGAGATGAAAGAAAAGCGCACTGCAACAGGCACCTTTAAAAACATGGCAGCTCCCATGTTCAATATCACGATCTGTGGGGCAATTTGGAAAACTACTGTGCTCCATCATTCAAAGAATACACCACTTCCTGGCTTTTCAAAAATCAACAGTTAGGCATTTTTGCATGATAAAGCTATTAACTGTTGCGTGTTCTTACCTTTCCGGCACACAGAATTGGAATCACAAATGGATTATAAGACGTTCCGGGGATTTCAGGAAAAGATCCATTTACTGGGGGCTGAAACAACAAGCAGAATACGTCAAGTTTCGGCTGCATAAAAAAAAAAAAGTTTGCAGATGAGCCTGAAAAGGGTGATCTTACCTTTGGCTTATATCCCAAGACTCTGTTCAGCTTAATGATTACACAAGGCCTGCCATCTTTAAAGCCAAAGGTTGGATCCTGTAAGCCAGAGCAACTTCCAAGCCATTCCCTCTTAAACCTGCATGATAACTTCTTGCCATCTGCTCCATTAATTTGTCCTTGGTCAAAGTAGCTTTCAGGGGTCTCTGGAAAATAGAAGGCAGGTTCAGCAAGCTGTTCAACTATTACGCTTTGAGATTTCATGTGATAGCAAAGCGCAAATAGCAAGAATGGGCACAAATCATATAGCTGCCATTGCAGTCCTCCTCAAAACACTAGATGCCTGGCTGTTACGCTTATGCTCATCCACTGGCTTCAGTACCGTCTGATCTGGAGCAATTGTTGCCGATCAGGAATGCAAGAGTAAAGTCTGACATCCTTACCTGCGTATTTGTTACGGGTAGGTGACTCAAATGAGGAAAAGCATGACAACCAGACAATTCGCATTGATAGAAGCAATGACAGCCTCCATGTTTATTTCATGATAGGTAGATACCTACCTATCATGAAATACCAACAATTTTACATTACTTTAAAAAGGTGTTGTAATGGGTTTGCGCACTTTTAAACTCTGTTTGATAATTTTTGAATAAATAGAAGCTTACAGGAGTTCAATGTGTTGCATTCAGAATACAAGGTTCAATCATAAGAAACATTTAGGGTAAAATAAGTCAAATGGAAACATTGACCATCTTGGGTGAATCATTATGACACGCACAAGTAAACACACAACAGTCTATGAATGTCATGGTATTTGAACCAGATCGGCTCATCTCCAATTCAGTTTAGGATAAGACTCACACCATAGAAATGTCTTCTTCTAAACATAACTTTCTCATGTGGACTTAACAATTTCCACTGATATATATTAGGGGGATGGGTTCATCTATTGATGGCAATAGCCTTACTGGCCATAAATAATGCTTCCCTCAGAAATATTCTGGTATAATGTGGCCAACGTTCTTCATCCAGTATAACAAACAGTCAAGTTTCTGGTATCATGTGGCCAACGTTCTTCATCCAGTATAACAAACAGACAAGTTTCTGGTATCATGTGGCCAACGCTCTTCATCCAGTATAACAAACAGGCAAGTTTCTGGTATCATGTGGCCAACGTTCTTCATCCAGTATAACAAACAGACAAGTTTCTGGTATCATTTGGCCAACGTTCTTCATCCAGTATACCAAACAGGCAAGTTTCTGGTATAATGTGGCCAACGCTCTTCATCCAGTATTCCAAACAGACAAGTTTCTGGTATCATGTGGCCAACGCTCTTCATCCAGTATTCCAAACAGACATGTTTCTGGTATAATGTGGCCAACGTTCTTCATCCAGTATACCAAACAGGCAGGTTTCTGGTATCATGTGGCCAGCGTTCTTCATCCAGTATACCAAACAGGCAAGTTTCTGGTATCATGTGGCCAAGGTTCTTCATCCAGTATACCAAACAGGCAAGTTTCTGGTATCATGTGACCAACGTTCTTCATCCAGTATACCAAACAGGCAAGCTTCTGGTATCATGTGGCCAACGTTCTTCATCCAGTATACCACCGTATACCAAACAGGCAGGTTTCTGGTATAAGGTATTGGCATTGCCATTTAGTTTTGACTGCAAGGGAAGACTTTCCCAGTTTAGTATGCAGTAAATTGGAATAAAGTAGAAAATAATCCTTTTGGACAGGGGCCCTGCAGCATTGTGAAACTACAAATTCCATCATGCATCTGCCTCTGGGAGGCATGCCCCTGGCTGTCAGAGTCTTGCAATATCTAATGGGATTTGTGGTTGCACCATAGCAGGAGGGCCGGAGTTTGCTGCCTCCCTGCTTTAGGACCTTCTGATGTTAGAATGACTATGATCAGATATTTGGATATCGGCATAGTTTGGTTTGTGTCTCTAAGCCATCATTTCTGGCATTAAACTTTTTTTTTTCTATCTGGGTTCCCTAACATAAAACATTTTGGCAATTTGGCACATGCACATTGTAATAGTACAGAGATTCTGTTTCCTAGAAGATAATCTACCTGGCCAATAGGACCTTTGCACTGAACTGATTTCATGTCAGTGCGAGGGAAATAAACTTCAGATTTCCATTCTTAAATGTCTTGCTTTACATGATGACGAATGAAGAAATCTTCATTGGGGTCTAGATAGAGATACAAATCTCCTTCAGATCCCCTCTCCCATTTCTGGGAAGGAAATGAGGAGACGTTCCCAATACAGACTAAGTTCTAAGCCTTCCCCAATGTATCAAAATACAGTAGTCTGGGAAGCAATTTTAATAAAGCAGTTGTGTAATCTGACTTGATTCAAGGAAGATCAGTGCTTCTTGTGGTAAAAATGATATGCCCAGATTGAGCTTAGAAGATGCATTGCCATCAGCAATCCAGCTCATTGTTTTGTCAGGAGCCTGGTCTTCCTCAGACGGAGCCCCTTCCTCTTAGATAGAGAAAATGGAGGGCAGGGGATATTATAGGTCTTCCTCAGACTTAGCCCCTTCCTCCTAGATAGAGAAAATGGAGAACAGGGGATATTATAGGTCTTCCTCAGACTGAGTCCCTTCCTCCTAGATAGAGAAAATGGAGGAAAGGGGATATTATAGGTCTTCCTCAGACGGAGCCCCTTCCTCCTAGATAGAGAAAATGGAGGACAGGGGATATTATAGGTCTTCTTCCGACTTAGCCCCTTCCTCCTAGATAGAGAAAATGGAGGACAGGGGATATTATAGGTCTTTCTCAGACTTAGCCCCTTCCTCCTAGATAGAGAAAATGGAGGACAGGGGATATTATAGGTCTTCCTCAGACTTAGCCCCTTCCTCCTTGATAGAGAAAATGGAGGACAGGGGATATTATAGGTCTTCTTCAGACTTAGCCCCTTCCTCTTAGATAGAGAAAATGGAGGACAGGGAATATTATAGGTCTTCCTCAGACTGAGCCCCTTCCTCCTAGATAGAGAAAATGGAGGACAGGGGATATTATAGGTCTTCTTCAGACTTAGCCCCTTCCTCTTAGATAGAGAAAATGGAGGACAGGGAATATTATAGGTCTTCCTCAGACTGAGCCCCTTCCTCCTAGATAGAGAAAATGGAGGACAGGGGATATTGTAGGTCTTCCTCAGACTGAGCCCCTCCCTACTAGACAGACAGGATATACTCTTCCTCAGCCTGAGTCCCCTCCTAGATATACAGGATGGAGGACAGGGGACATGTAAGTCTTCCTTAACCCGATCCTCTTCCTTCTAGATTAGGCAGGGTGGAGTACTGAGGATATATTGACCTGTTCAGAAGCATGCACAGTAAATG